CATGTAACATAATTTTAAATTAATAAATTAATACATATTTGAGTTATAGTGTAATATAATTTCTAACAAATTATTTTGCATTAGTATATTCATGTTTCAATAAATTACTTGCTTCACTTCAATATAAAAACTGTTATTCGTATAATATTTCTACAAACAATAACTAGGCAGAGATATTTAATATGTCATTCATCTGGTAATATGTGTGATACTTTACAACTGTAATTTATAATTAAAACACTATACACAATTGCCAATACGATTAAGTGCAACAAAGAGACTTGTATTTAGCAGATAGTAACAGTATCATATTTGTTATAAAAGATATATTCTAATGTTTATTATGTTCTTGTTGAAATAGAAAACAAAAATTTAGAACAATTAATACTACAATATATTGTATTGCACTAGATCAGTTGAGTGATTGCCTTAAGATATCGAATGAGGACTTTACAAATATTATATCTATAATACTCTTTTAGTTCAAGTATATTTACCCTTCATTCAAGTAAATATTATTAATTATGAGAAACTAATCACATGTAATTTTTGATAAAAATTTTCATACAAAATTCAAACATTAATTTTATTTTTATTTATTAAACATTCAACCACAGATTTCATAAAAACAAATTATATGAAAAATATATATTTTAAAGAAAAATTTACTTTGTTTTTTGATTTGAACTAAATATGTAACTGATTGTAAGCGTGCTAATGAGGAGGAAATCTTCTTTCCTCATGGAAATCTTTTGGTGTCATGTCTATGATTATCACGGTAGAAAGCTTACGAAGATTCCTAAATGACTCAACTTCTTTCTAAATGAATTTTATTCTACATTTAGGAATATACTTTCCTTTCAAATTTATATATATTTTTGTGTTTTTAAGAAAAATCAATTTATAAATTACATTTATATGGCTTTTAACATTTTTGACAACGCAATATATTTATCTGATTAGTGACATTGCAATGCATTTATATTTTATATTTGTTTAACAATACAGATTTCAGTGTTTAAAACTTTTTTCATATATCCTATTGAGCAACAAAAACTTGTGATATCCCCCAAAAAACACTTACGTGTAAAAAACTACGCCAAGTACAGGATTGCTGTGAATTCCTCTAACAAAAAGTATTGATATCATATTATTGAGGCCAAGTACATAAGTCACTACATGTTTTCCTATTATATGATCTAGCACTGGCCCATCATTGTAATTATATTTTCAATATTTCCTATAACGTTTTCGCTACTTTTTTATGTTACTACTGCTTCCCGTATTTAATTATGATTTAATGCCCACACAGCACAGAAATATTTTGTCAACATTGCCAAAAGTTTCCCTTGAAATAATGCAATATTACCGGAAATATATTGAAAATTGTTTAAATATTTCTGGAATGTTGCAGGAACCTTGCAATGTCCGCTCAGCACGTTGCAACCATAATATTGCTATAATATTGCCGGTCAATATTTTGGAAATATCATTGCATAATATTAATAAAATATAACTCAGATACATAACTGAGAAATAATATAACTAAGAATAAATTCCAATGCCAGCAATGTATCGTGGGTTTCTTTGGGCAGGTTATACACGTAAGTGTTTTTTGGGGGATAAAGGCATAGGCGCACGCAGAGCCGTGCCGCCGAGAGAATCCCGACGGCGCCGCAGGTTTATGGCGAGAGGAAGCCGGGGAGAGGAACCGGCAGCGCCGTGGCCGAAGATCGGGCGGGCTCGGGTAAGATCGGCGCCACCCGGGGAATGGCGGGCTGTGAGCGCCGAAAAACGAAGAGCGGACCGAGGCGAGAGACAACGCACGAATTCGGGTGAACTCGGGATTCTTCAGGAATCCTCGGGTCGGGTGGCCAAAAAGGGCGCCACCTCGTTTTGAACCGTGTAACGAGAGTTATCGCGAGTGAGAAGCAGATTTTTGATTTTGGAAAAAGTGATTTGGAATAGTTTTGGTGAATCGACGACTTGGCATTTTCCCCCGGATTGCGATTTTGGATTAGTGCAGCGCCACGAGAGAGCGAGCGAGAGAGAGAGAGAAACCGAGACGGCGGCGAAAAAAGCCAGGGACGACCAGGAAGAAGGCCGAGTGCACCGGAAGCTCTGGTAAGTCCAGTTAGATTACCAATTCGGAGCGAAGCCGCGCGCCGGCCGGAGATGAAGTTCATCCGCCGGTGGAGCGCGGCACGCGGAGTGGGGGCTACGGGCCCGCCACATGCTCTCGCGATAGAAGATTGCAGCCACCCGCGAAGGTAGAAGACGACTGCCGCAACCGCGTCCGTTAATAGGATTGTATCGAGTCGTGTTCGTAATAACACCCGACTGTACTCGTTTGCCTAGGACGGAATAAATATCTATTGTTGAAATTAATTCCCACCGTGTCAATTATTTCGGAAAGGCCGACCGATTCCTGCAAAGACTCGCCGCCCGCACGTTCCCCTCTACCACGTGCGAATAAGAGCTAGCGGGAAGAGCCCGTCGAGAGGACTCCCGGAAATGACGTGCCGCGGATTATAAATTAAAGGCCCGACGAGTCGGGCTGGTGCAAGGATGCACCTGGCGCCCAAGGGATCCGCGGAATTCCACGTTGGCGTCATAGATAGAAAGTAGGCCTGGAAATGCGTTACAATCGATAGTCCCTAGTATTAGGACTAGTACCGAAGACGAGGAAGTCTCGAGTTCCGCGAGACTCCTCGTGCTGAATGATCAACGGGCCCCTGCGTGGAGGCATTGTAACTGGCTTGCCATAGGAGGCAGAAACGACCAGACCTACCGAAGTGATCAGGATCTCAGCCACTATCGTCGAGGACAGGGCCGGAATCTCATCGCCGCCAGAGGCCACTGGACACCCCGAGCTACGCCAGTGAGGCTGTGACTATGTTCCGCGTGGCTAGCGAACTTACGACCAGGATGTCAAAGTGTTGCGCTTAGTCCGCGATTGGAACTTTTATTTTACGCCGTCCTCCCGAGTATTATGTATCGTTGCTTAGTGGAAGGCTCCGGCATCTACCGAATATTGTCGAAGTCCGTCTCGTAGGGGTAAGGCGATTTAGCCACAGATGTCACTCTAGCTCTATATCGTGTGTTTTATCGAGGAATAGTTCCAACGGCATGACTTTTGTAACGGCGTAATAATACTAGTATTGTAAATCCTCCCGAGGATCTTATTGGCTATTTAAGAGCATTACTTTTGATTGTTAGTGGGGGATGCGAGTCCCAGCCCTACAGTGAAGTTTGCGGGTAGAACATTCTTGTGTGAGTTACCATCATGGTCGGGTGTGAATTTTGTATCGTCAGCAGTTTGAATAATACCGGTAAGAATCTTGTAACGAGTCACGAAATCTTTTCCATACGTTTTCCATATCTTTCCTATTGTTTTCGCGTTCACGTTTTTTCCAGAGCCTCCGCCTATGGATGATTTCCGTATCACTAACGTGGAAAAGATTCAGTGTATCGCCTATATTTCTTTAGTGAACTATTATTTCTTGATTTTGTAATATTCTCTTAGCGCAAAAGTCTCGTGACCCTGGTGACCTAACAGAAGGAATCTGCGAGTTCTCGCTTCACGAGGACGCGTGTAGTGTATCGTGTTTGTCTCGCTTCCTGAGACTTCACGTATCGTCGCGTGTATCCCGCTTCACGGGAATTCACGTATCGTAGACGAAAGTTTCGCAAATGAATTACTTTGTATTTCGTTTGATTTCCCTAAATTGTTATCAACTTCATTTATTTGACTTGTTTCGAAATTATTATTTGTTAATTGTTGAAATTCTCAATCGTCCTAAATAAAAGGACACCTGTTATTGTTTTCTATTCCGAGGTTCTCATTCTCCTAGTCAATTCCCTTATCAACACCTCGGTGATCCTTGCACCTCTACCATCTCGCGAATTATCTGTGCCGGTCAGTGGCACTCTCTCCGTCCCTTCTGGAATTATTTTGCAGATTTTGTTTCGTGACGCAAAGGTGCGTTTGACGCCCAACTCGGTCTTTGTCAGTATCGTATTCGAGGGAGATAGAAATTTATTATTTGTCGACGGAAAATCAGATGTTTTGCTTCGAACGGCTCGGGTAATCAACTTCGATTATAACTTTAGAAGAAATTTTCGTCACAATACATATATTTCAGTTATTAGAAATCCATTGTTATTTTGCTGGGACCCATATTGAATAATACATTTTTTGGGTGAGACTCTTTCGGATCGTTATAATACGCAAATATTTTTCTCAAATGTTGCACATGATATTAATTAATCTTACTTCACTCTAACTCGCCATACCTGGGACAGGATTCCAAACTAGTGATACCACACGTTACGCAGCGCTACGCTAACACGTTTTGGAAATAGTGTTACGCGTGGAGATGAAACGAAAGGGGAAGGAATATGTTACATTGCACCATATCCAAAAGTGCTAGCGTAGTATGTGATATCGCTAACTCGGAGTTCGGTCCCTGATCTGATGGATCGGGAGAAACACTGCATTTTCATCTGTTCTTCATGATACGTGTTCTGTAAATGTTATAACTTTTGAACAAATTATTTTTTGCTGTTGCACTATAGTTTCTTTTTATTAGAGTACGGTATTTCGATTTTACTATAATTTAACCTAAAATTACGTATTTATTAAAAAATTAAATTAAAAAATTATATGAAATTATACATATAGCAATGAAATTGTCAGTCTGGCAGACCATATGTGGCATCCTAAGAGTAAAAAATTGATATTACGAGCTAGGGTTAAATCCTGCACGATAAAAACGTAGTTGTTCACTATTTGTTAATAATAGCACGTAAACATAATTTAAAAAACATTTATTGCTTTCTGCATTAGCTTGAAAAATGGAATGAAATAGGAATATTAACAGTAGCGCTGGGAGCGGTTTCGACTTCAATTGGCTCAGATATACATACATATGGATATAGAGTGAAGTAGAGAGATGGAGAGAGAGAAAGATATCTGCGTGACGCTTGCCGTCGCATAGGAACAACGCGTCATATTCCGCCATTGTGGATATAGCATACGCGTGGCGCCGTTCATTGTTGGATACCCTGTTGTACACAGTGTTATTTTTGAGAAATTTCGTGTACGTTGCAAACAATCGTTAATAAACTTCAGTTTTCTTAAGTTGTGTTAGATCGTAAGTGAACGACACTGCCAATTGCATACGAGTTAAAATATTTGTTCAGTCATGGCAGACAGATCAAGTAACGGCGAATATAAGTATCAGAGAGACGATAGCATGGAAAACAAACCACGGATTCCACTTGAGAAAGAACGCGATGAAAAGGATCATCAAGCAGACAAGGCTGGTGAATATGTACGTGAACTTCTACAAGAAAAGCTTGAGCTTGACGCTCAAAAGTGGCCCAATGCTCATCGTTTAATCGACCAGGGTGAGTCAATTTTTCATAAATTGTGTTTATACATTGTTCATAATATGCTGGGAAACAAGTTTTCTTTATAATAATTCCTACTGAATATAATTCATTCACTGGATTCCTATAAATCATCACAGTTAACAAATTAATGTGGTTGATCTTCCTGTTACTGGTATGTAACCTATACATATAACTTAACACAAAAAACTACTCAAAAACTATTGCTTATTGTATAGCATAGATTGCTAAATATATGGTAGTACTGCATCGATATGTTGATACAATCAATATATCTAATATAACTAATTGATCCTTTTTGCCAATAGAAGTAAACTCAAGTTCTCCTCGATATGTCAACAACACAGTTATAAATTTATCAAGGTCTCGTACAATAATCTTTATGAATATAAAGGTGCTATTCGTGTAGCTTGTATCAAAGTGTCTGGTTTAGGCCAATGAGAGATTGTAGTACTATTATATGGAACTTGCATGATAAATATGATATAGATAGGTTTACAATCGATTACTTATAGATTGTAATTATAGAAATTTTCCAACCTTAAAATTGTATTTTGGGTATGATAGACGCTATTGTAACTTTTATCTGTTCATTATTTGAAGTTTACTTATATAAATAATATTTTATTTTTAACAACCAGACTAATTTTTAACAATGAATATTGTATTTTTAATAAATATAGCTAAAGCTCAAGAAGAACATGCAGTAGTTTTTATGCGTTAAATGTGGAAAATTAAGTCAGGACAATAGCAGTCTATGAGACTTGGAGTACCGTTAATTTAATTTTATTGATATTTACAGTTTTAAAGTTAAATTGGTTATAACAGTATATATTTTTATTATAAGTTATTAATATTCTAATATAATTCTATACCATTATAAGCATTTTGTATCTTATTACTATGTATATAATTATAAATGACATATAGCATTTTCCATTTGATTGTATAACTAATATTTGTGACATTATTAGGATATGTACAAAAGACTATAATAGTAAGTATTATTTATGAAATTATCTATATTTTATCTTATGGGCCAATTTGAAACTGAATTGTGTAACTTACTATAAGCGTACTGAAATTGTGTCATTATGTATCGTTGTTACATGAACTTACAAAAAATTGGTTTGGCAGGTGACTTTCTATGATGTTTGACGACTGCTAGTGCTGTCGGCTAACTTTTTAATTCTGTCATAATTTTAGCAAAATGGAAACTTGCCGTGTGGTACTTCTGGAAAAACAAAAATACATTTTTACATCATTTTTCAGTTATTTCGTATAAGGCTGTTTTAAAATTGTCACAAAGAAAAATATTTCATATCAATTTTTTGATTCTTCCATAATATAAAAATATCAATGATTGCGTGATTTATAAGTATATGTTTAGTTTGTGTAGTGTATTTTTTCAAAATTGAGATGTCGGTATCAAGTATTTCACGAGATTGATGATTTGTCATGTAACAATTGCTACAGCTGGTTTAAAACGGATATAATGTACATATACATCAGTAACAGGGCTGTAGAGAATGTCATTAAACTGTAGGAAATGTCATATTATTCAGGAGTATTGGTGTATATAAATCTATACCCTCACGAAAAAAAGGAAATGTAAAACATATAAATAACACCACTTATCAAATTTTTGTAAATTGACAGTGAAATTTTACTTTCAGTAAAAGGTTATTTAGTGAATATTATATGAGTATAATTTTTCTAAGATAATATACAAATCTTTGTTCACTGTTAGTGTTAATATCTATTTTAATTGTTATGTCATGAAACAATAATACCTTGTTATGACATTAAATGTAATGAGTGCATATCTGTGTACATATGTTGTTGAGGTAGTAGCATTATACAAATTGTTATTATATGATTTTGTATTAACATATATATACCAAATTCTAGTAATCTAAAAAAATTTATCATGAAGGCAATTCGTAAAGACAATGAATCTGTTAAATTTTTTATGAAAATTACAAGTACTATAGACAATCAAATTTGGTAGCTTTAAAATCTCTGTATTGCTTATTATATAATAGTTTACACTAGTTCGAAGGTTGTAGACGGTACTTTTTAATAAGATTACAACTATTAAAATTAAACTATACACAAGCTTTTAGAGTATCATCTTTAATGACAGTTGTTATTTATATCTAATTGGTATATTTTTTAACAGTTGTAAAACTCGACGTTCTTCTTCATAATATTGGAACATACAATAGTGCCATCAAATAAAACTTATCAGTAATCAGGATAAATACATATTAGGTGTAACGTATTACAATAAATTATGAAGTTGTATGTAGAAATGTGGTTTACGCATGGAAGTTCTCGGTAAGGCACAATGTGCTTTTCTCATTTCATTGGCAGGTTGCTTTGTCTGAAAATTTAATTGTCATTACGTACTATGCTCTATTCATTTTGCATAGTTGCCTTATTCACTGTTCTGTAGCGATAAGGTTCGCGGAAATAAGGCTCTATATTAAGAAAATTGAAACACACCTTTTGGTTTTCCTCGCGAGCGTTGTTTCTTGGTAACTTTTATTGTTCAACAAATACTATAAGCACTAGAAACTTTACGTAACCTAACATCATGATTAGTTTGTATCTTTATGTATATAATACAATCGTTTGTATATAATATAATCAATATATCAACCAGGATTTTTTAACACCATTTTTTACATATTGATTATTGCAAAATTATTTTTATTTAAGTTGTATATTATACATACTAATTGTTATTAAATTTCGTTTAAATTGAAAAAAATGTAAATTGCAACAGAATTATGATAGGGTTAAAATTATCACAGCTGATATGATGACCACTATGAGTAATCATTTTATCGTTAAAAAGGAGTTTAGCGTTTGAAACTGAACAGATAAGAGCTAGAGCCCTTTATGTGGCGTTGAGAAGTTTCTACCTTTTCTTTTTTATTATTTTTGCAACGAGAGATTTATAGGTTAAAGAAACTAAGTATGATTTTACATTTTTTGGATGCATTAATACATATTTTACACGTCTCCCATAGTTTTTATATCCAGTTGTTTATTTGTATTCATTTATAAACGAATAAATTTAAAAATATACGATTTTTTTTTAGTTGGTTTCTCGGAAAGTATTTAATTATAGAGGCTGAACATTTTACCGAATATTCTGGACATACCAAGGAATAATATATGTTTTTTCCAGAATTTTGTGCACGCTAGATTTTGTTTTCTAAACAAATTATCTGTTATACTTCTATATGATGGCCATACTGGATTTTGAAAATTAGACATGAAATTCGTAATTACCGACCTGAGAAACCTATATGTATATCGCGTATCTGGTTCATATTTATTATGATTTATACTAATTTACCCCTACATGGGGTATTCGATCCGACATTTTTAATTTTTTGAAATTTGACGTTATATTTGTAATCAGCGATCCAAAAGACACAAGCCCTTATTCAGAACCCGCTTTTAGTGCCAATAGCGCGTTTTAAAATTATTTGTTAGTGAGTTTGAAGGTGATCGTATTCAGAACCGTTTTTATGGTCACTCTTAAGGTCACTAACGGCTATTAGCGCGCTATTAGTGAAAAAGCCTATTCAGAACCGCTTTTAAGCATTTAACCCTTTCGTTATGACGATCCGCTTCGCTAAAGTGACGCCTAGAATGACGCCTAGAATGACACACAGGTTGTCGCATGGGTACCGACTATAGTCGACAGTTAAAGGGTCGAAAGGTCTATAGTCGAAAGGGTTAAAAGTGCGCTATTAGGCGCCATCTTGGGACTAACAGCGACCTGTTCGGTGATGTGGGTAGGGACATGTTTAAAGTGACAGGTGGCTCAAATATGGTAGAAGAGATGGAGGCTATTGCCGAGGTGGACGAAGTCCGCGATGTTAATGAAATGAGAGTAAAAAATCCGCAAGTTTTTCGAGAGAGACGTGATCCGTTTCGTACGTGACGTCATCCTTAGGCATTTCGGCCGTGTTGAATGCTCAGAGGCTATCAGATTTGTGGGGACCTTCATCCTCCACAACATTTTCCAGGCAAATTTCAATGATTTTGAAATTGAGCCCGGAAGGTTTTAATAGGGCAGGACCTCCACTTGTACCACTTGCACACTTGCAATAGCAAGAAATAGTCTTCTTCACTGCGAGTTTACACCGCTGCTATGCACTTCTTATATCTTTCCATTCCCTCTTAATTCCAGTCGCTGCCATTTTCTCTGTTAGTCTCATCTACTTTTTTGCAATCTAATATTATTTGGTTTACTCTCTAATATATCACGGTTGTCGCTTATAAATTGTACGACTAATGCTTTTTCTTCGAGGGTAAAATTCTCCTTTCGTTCCATGATGATCTACAACCATTTATTTTTGTCATTCTCATGTTATGCCTGTGTTATAATAGTTATACACACACACAACATTTATACGTTTTTACCGTATTAATTGAATATTAATAGCTTGCCTCTACAACAGGGAATTCTTGAATTTCGAATTTCAAATATAGCTGCAGTTTTCATCAAATATGAAGTTCGCGCTTTTCGAATGCCACCGAATACTCCCGGACTCAATCGAATATGCCCGAGTCTCCCCGAATGATTCCGAACGCGATTGAAAGTACATGTTACAACACGCTGCTTCCCTGTTAGCGCATCGCTAGCTAAAAGTGGCTTAAAAGTGAGTTCTGAATACGGTCACTTACAACTTGGCGCAGTCACTTGTAATTAATAGTGACTCTGTTACATCTTAAGAGTGAGTTTTGAATACGGACTATAGAATTGCAAAATATCACCAAAATCCGCCAGGAAGAAAAACTTTGGCCGTACAAAGGGTTAAGGGAACTAGCAAGATTTCAACTGACAAAACGCGTTTAAAATCGGGTATACGAGAATCGCCCGGTTTATTATAAATGTTCAGAGCTGTTCGTTTATTTATTACAGATTAGAGATTATTTATTTTATTATTATAGAATCAAAACTTTCGTCAAAC